GTATTTAAAAATGTTTTATTTTTTGTTAAAATATATTTTTAATATGCAAACTTAATTTTTGTAAATATAATCAGCTTTATTTTACTGGGATTTTACTCTCTCTTTTTTTTTTGTCTGCTTTTGCTGTTCATTAGCTTACGGAGCCAGTGTTTTGTGTGTTGCCCATTCCCAACTCAGAACCCGTTGTAGTCTTTCAAAATGGAAACTGCAGTTTTCTCAATGACATCCTGTTAGCTGGAAAAGACTATCAGACCATTGGTCAGCTATGTAGTGAAGAACAACTTTATTGGGCTGATGCTTGCTTCTCAGAAAACGTTATTATACTCTTACTTACTTGGAATGAAAAAGTAAGGAATTGTTGATTTCTTTCTTTGAATTGAATTAGGAAATTCATTGGTTTTTGAAAACTTTATTGTGTAATTAAATACTTCCCCATAATTAGGCTCCAAATAAGAAGAGCCCAAAATATCGTTAACGCCAAGAGTACCTAACTGATGAAACAATACATTCTAATCTTTATAAGTAAGAACATTATATTTAATCAGATATACTCTTTATCAGGGTGTCTTTTAACTGTGGTTTGTATAGGTAGCTTGCTTTGATCAGAAGTTAAGTATTAACAGAAAATTCAAGGCAACAGTATGCTGTTTGATCCAGTGAGGTAACTTTTACTATCCTAAAATAAAAATGGACCAATTAAGTCCATCAAGTAACTTAAGGAAACTACAATTTTTAATTGAATACTTTTTTTGTCTTGTAACAGACAGTTGAATGTATGCTAAAATGTAGTGTGAGACAAAAAATTTTGTAAAATTAAGTTACAAACAAAAGAAGCTACAGTGTGAGGAAATCTAAAAATGCAAAGAAATTGTTAGAAATGCTATTTAAAAAAGAATTATTATTGCTCTCCAGTAATGTTTAATTCACTTTTTAGATTTTATGAATGAAAAGTTTATGCTTTCATTTTTATAAATTTGAATGTAACTTTGAATTTGAGCTTACTCAAACATGCGAGATTCCATAAAGCTAATAACATTTTATTGTCCTGACCTTTTGCCTGCTAGCTTCTGACACAGACTTAATGTTAGGTAATTATTTGTGTAAAGCAACCTTGTCTTACACCAGACAGCACTGATCAACTGAAGGCTTTTTTTTGTTTGGAAAATTCATCTGAAAATAGTTACTAAAGTAGAAAATGATGTGGTTATTGATTTTTTTTTTAGGATATATTGACATTAAAAAACCTTATAAGACTTTTGATTATTGAATTAAACTGGTGTTCACAGGTTTAATTATTCTGATAGACTTGCAGTTGGGCATTCCTGGGTGTTTTTGTGTGTTAAAGTTTGCATTACAAAAAATAACATTATAATGATTTGTTCTACCAGGAGAAATGTATTTCCAGCAACATGTATTTAATAAAATAATGAATCACTTTATGAATTGTACTGATGCCCAATAACTATTGTACAAAGTTTTTATTATTTGGCTTGAAAGATCTCATGAAAGTGTTAATTTTTTTTTGTACATTTTAGTATTTGTGTATATTTTATATGATAATAAGTTTCCTTCTTTTTTCACTGCTATAAAGGTAAATACTTGGGTTGTTTACTGGTTGCAACTATCAAGTCAACACAGCACAGAGTTACTAGGAAAAACGACATTTCATAAGAAGGATCACCAACTGTGTACTTGGTGTTTGTCTCTAGGAGCTGATATCCAACGTTTTCTAACACTGTGTAAGTACACTATATCAAAAGAAACAAGTTGGAACTGTGATATCCATTCCATATGTCTTTTTGTATGATTTTAATTTAAACTTTGAATAATATTGTAAGTTGCATATAGTAATGGTAGAAGAACACTATATTTGGGAGACTTCAAGATTAAATCATTATTAGAATATTAAATCAAGGAGTCTCTCATTTTACTATTTGGACCCCCCCCCCCCCTCCAAAAATCATTGAATAATTATATGTTTTAAGATTATTTGTAAGAAGAACAGCTTTCACATTTAATGTTCCATAATTATTTAAGGTAAAAGTAAGGTTATATGTACTTTTTATACAAATGTAAAAATATTAAGCATGGCTATTTACCAATGTAAGGATTGGGATTTACTATATTTATATTTGTCAAAACTATATATTTTATTAACTAATGTAAAATATATGACATAATTGAATTTAAGAAAAATGATGATTTACTCAATAAACATATCTACTGTACCTTGTAATAAATCTGTTATATTAATATTTACAGAAATATATAACCTGTGTTAGCTATTACTTGATCTGTTGTTCTGGGACTGTTATTTGTAATTGTTAGAGAGGTATTGTACAGCTTTTTATTACAATCTTAAGATCTTTTTACAGTACTGTAGTTGTGATAATCCTCACCATAATTACAAGATGTGTAGATTTATCAAGTTGCTAAATTGTAGGTCTGTGCTTAATGATGGCTTCAGCTCCAGTACCCTTTTTGTTTTCCACTCTCTCCACCTAGTCAATTTGGGGATTTTAATCAGTGTAATTGTAGAAAATTGATCATAAAAGATTACTTGTAAACCAAGTAGAGGTCATGTACAAATAATGAAATGTGACAGTATTGTGACCAACACAGAGAGATTTCATGATGTATAAAAGTAGGAGTCCTTTGGAAGGTAAAACTTGTCATAAAATTGCAAGGAAATTATTATAAATGAAAGAGGGAACTTGGAGAGAGAGGCAAAAAGTGAAGCCTTGGCAAAACCAATAAAAATAGCTTATATATATATTAGTAGAAGTAGATATATTTTTTTGAAAAGTAGTTTTCACCTGTAATATCATTATTCTATGTATTAGACTGGAACTTTTAAATATCAAATTTGACACGATTTTGAACTTACCACAAAAATTTTCAGGTCCATATTAATTGTCAGAATTACTTTTTATATAGAAAAGTTACATTTGGGATATCTATTTGCTACTATGAGTGCTATTATAGCACAGAACCAATGACCTGTTAAGCTTTGGTACTACATAAAACCACTAGAGTAGTCATGCATACTGATTTTGAAACTTGTGAACCTTTCAATTTTTGTGAGAGTGATTAGTTTTATTATTTGTTGCATATTAAATAAATCTTGTAAAATCTTAAAAGCCAGATGTTTAAAAATTTTTAGTTGAAACCAGAAGAAAAAATATGTTTCCTCAACAGTACTTGACTTATATGCTGGTTACTATTCCACATGTTGACAAATATTTTAGAAATGTGAGAGGAAATAGAGCTTCTGCATTTTGCAAAATATTAATGAAAAAATTATACTAGGCATACATTATATTTCCAAAATGATATCTCACCTCTTCTCACAGAATAGCTTGATTCATCATTCATCCACCTGTGAAATTTGCATGCCTCTAGCCTTGAGCTAACTCCCAATTAAAAATCACGTTTAACGTGAATTGCATTCATGCATGATGATATCATCATGTGACAATAGCCCTCCACCAATTGGAGAGCAATACAACCTCTTGCACATTGATTTCTCCTAAGCACTTGTGCTTGAAATAACTTCATTTTTTTCCTTGGTATTGTCTGGAACAGACACATTTTTAAAATTATTAATGTATTACTTGAGATTGAGAATAGTTTATGAAACTTAAATTTCATTCAAGTTTAACTGGTTTCTTTTATTACTAAAGAAAATGAAGAGACAGAAAAATTTTTTTCCTGCTTGCCCATTATGAATTTTAATTTAAAGTAACTTCTGCTTTGTCGTGTGATAGTGATGATGTTCCTAACATGGGACCTGTGTCTATTGGGGCTTGTTGTCTGTGGAGGATGCAATAGCCTTTTTCAACATGTTGTGGGTTCCTTCATGCACACTGGCTTCCTTCTCTCCAATTTAAAGATAGTCATGATTATGACGATTTTGAGCCTAACAGGGTTTGCTTTAGTCACAGCTTCATCTGTGGGCATGGTTCTCACCATTTTAATCTCTTCCTTGACAGGATTTTGCAGGTATGTTTTCTTATTTTTCTTTTGTCTTTTGATTCCTCCCATGCTTTACTAAATGAAACCCATATACAGGACTACTTTGTCTTCCTTCCTTTACGTGACATTAGGGTCTATGCAGACTTATTTCTCAAATACCTGCACACCCATACTAACATGCATCATCCTCCTCACCTGCTTGGCTCTTCATTTCCGTTCGTTGATTCTCTGTCTTCAGAATCTCTTACCTTCTGGGGGGGGGGTGGATCTCTTAGTTTTTATTTCACTTTCTAGAGCCCAATATTCATGCCTTTGTCTCTTTCTTACCACCCTCCTACCTCTCATCACTTCGCCTTATGTCTGAGACACTTCATCTGCTCAAGAGGGGTTTTCTGGAGAGGTTCATTCTCTTCTGATCACCACTTTGGCTCATACTTCTTCTTCTGTTCTATCCCTCCTTACTTGGTTCCCCTGCTGTTGGGACAGGATGCCCTTCTAGGTAATGTACACCTCTGTCTGGCTGCATTTCTTCATCCTGAGTGTTCTTGACTCACTGGAGACCTGATTTGAGGTAGCTTATTATTATTCCTCATTGTTTACTGTGGTTTCTTGTCTTTCTCAACCTTGCCATTCTGTTCCTGTTCTTAAGTCTGCTGAATTTATATCTCCCCATTTCAACTTTCTGGCCTTCTACTTCCCATCATCCTGCTTTCCATTGTCATGGTCATCACTCATCTCATCGTTGACTATCCTGTTGTGTCTGGCCCTGTGGAGGCTGTCTATCTCTCTTCACCAGTTTTTGTTTGGTCTCCATTTTCATCCAACAGATGACATCTTCATGTTATACCCAATAGCCTATTTCTTCACTTCAACTCCTTCCCTTTTTCGTTTCCTTTCTTCCTCCCACTCTTCTCCTTTATCTTTATTGTCTCGAGGATGTGGTCTCAAATATCTTAACCAAGAATGCCATAAAGAGCATATTTACCCCTACACCTGGTCATTACTCTTATCATTTTGTGATTCCCAAGAAGACTGGGGACTGTCATCTGGTTATCAAACTGTCATTTCTCAACCAGTTTTTTATCATTCCCTAGTTCTGTATTAAGGATTTGTTTTTGCTTTGCTGCTTCTTTTCCCCCAGACTGTAGATGACCCAAGTTGATGTTTTGGACACCTTTTTGCATATTCTGATCTTACCATTCTCCAGACATTTTTTTAATTTTGTCCATCGGGATTGGATCTTCCTTTTGTCATTGCATCTACTCTTTGTCTTTATTTGAGTCATGAGACATTTGCCTGTCTTGTTTACAGATTGGGGCTGAAGTTCCATTATTAAATAGAAGAATGGCTTCTCCTCACCCCTTCTTGAGAGTGCTTCTTCTCTTACACCTGCCTTCTTTTGCAGGAAGCTGCTTGGCTGGACTGGCTTGTCTGGCCTTCAAAGTCTTTTGTCATGCCTTCCCTATATTTGGTACATCTAGGCATGTTTTTCAACTCCATCATAGCCAAGCTCAATCTTCACCACTTTGTTTGTGGGCAATGGAATATCTTGTCACTAAAGTTTGTACTTCTCTCTTTTACACCCTGCATACAAGGTTCTTTTACTTTTGGGAACTCTGGCTTTCCTTGAACCACTCATTAATTTAGGTCACACACACACACACACACACATGTGCCTCTTCCAGTGGAAATTGTGGTACCAGTGTAACTTTTCTTGGGATCTGTTGTCCTTGATTGTGTATCTCCCTTCTCAAGAATATATGTCTTGGTGGCTCAATCGTGCCAACACTGCTGTGGGTATTTCTTTGCTGACCACCCAACCAGAACTCCATCTCTTTACAAATGTTTCTTTGTCATACTGGGTGGCATCTCTGAATGACTACATGGCTTTGAGCATGTGGAGCATTTGCTCCACCTCATTGTCTTACTATCCATTGGACATTTTCCCATTTCCTCCCTATTCTCATGGATCGAGTAGCCATAATCTCCTCTGACAATTCCACAGTTTTTTATTATATCATCTATTATTATCTAAGTTATCTCCCAAGGTATGCTTGTTTCCCAAAGTCTGTATTTGGCCATGAGTAATGGAAAATGCTCAACCCATCTGCCCTGCCTCTACCAGTGTTTACTGTTGAGATGGGGTATTCTGCAAGGCCATTTGAGATACCCTTGTGGCATTACAATTACTCAATTGCTCCATCTAGACTTTACCATTCCCTGAAGCATCATGGAAAAAGCCAGCACTAGGAAAGTGACTGCCCACTTCTTTGGCTTCCACTTGTCAGCTTTTAAGAATAGGGTTTTGCAATCACCCATTGCACTGTCTCCAATAAAAGACCTTTCTGGCAAACGTCCGATGGGGATCTGAGCACTTCTTTTTGGTCTTCCCAATGCTAATTTTCCCCCTTCTTCAAGTGGAGTATGAGAGACCCTTTCCATTTACCAGTTCCTACCTGCTGGGGTGGTGGACCTTGAAGAGTTCCTCACTGTCTATATAGTGTGGATCACCTCTCAAACAGCTATCGTGATCTCTTTCTGCAGCAAAATGGATTTCTCACCCCTGTCTTTGTCTGTCCAGTTTATTCAAGGTGAGACACGCATTGTATGGCCTGATCATGTTTTAACCACAATAAGCTTCTTGGCTTGTAGACCATTTGTATGTGGGTACTCAATTGGTCATGCTCATTCTTCCCATTCCTGGGAAACTTGGGACTCTTTTGCCTTTCCCTTTGTTTCCTTCTAGGTGAAGAGTATACCATGGATGAGATGAGATGTGATCTATGAATTTGCCCCTATGCCCCTGTCATCTGGTGTCACACTTCATGGGTTTTCCCTTTGGGCACTTTCTGAAAGGAGCTCATCTAGGTTTAATGTTTGCACTGGCCCCCTCTACTATTTCAGTGTGGGATTCTAGCTATTCTGTGTGTAGAGATGAGATACTATCTCAGAACTTAACCTTTTCCTTACCTGAAAATGTATTTCTGATAGATACACACCTTCCCACCCATCATCCCCACTTCTGGTGCACTTTCTTCTAGTCTCATTTAAGAATGAAGTTATTTTGAGTGCAGTTCTTTGTAAGTTGTCACATATATAAATTTTCAGGTGCCCAACATATTGGCACACAAAAAAGTTGGATTTGCCCATTTTGAGTCTATTTTTTAGGGGTGGGGTGGGGTAAGAGTTCACCAAAAAGCATCAATTTGAAGTTTTTGGTCTATTACTCAGCTGTATTTTGATAAAATACATGGGATTTGGTACAAATATACTTTTCTACAGGTTCCACACATTGACCAAAAAAATGATGGACTTGCCCATTTTTAGCAATTGTAAGAGTGTGAAAATGCCACAAAAAGTATAATTTTAGGGTCTTTTGACAACTGCTGTACTTCGACCAATTTACATGGGATGTGGTACTAACATACTTTTTTATAGGTCCCATACACATACATACAAAAATGTGGGATATGTCCATTTTTGATCATTTTAGGAGGGGGGGGGGTGAAAATGTTAAGTTAACTCATAATTTTAGGGGTTTTGGTCAATTACTTAGCCTTGTTTTGACCAATTTACATGGAATTTAGTACAAAGATACTTTTCTACAGGCAACACGTATTGACAAACAAATGTTAAATAAACCCATAATATTAGGGTTTTTGGTCAATTATCTAGCCTTGTTTTGACCAATTTACATGGAATTAGGTACAAAGATACTTTTCTACAAACAACACATTGACAAACAAAAATGTTGTACTTGCCCATTTTTAGTAATTATAGGGGGGGGGGTAAAGATTCCTCAACAAAAGCACAATTTTAATGTATTTTGGCCAATTTACAAGCAAAAATATAAACAATTTTCATTGAAGAAAATGGTGTTTTTGTAAACTATTCATGTGTATGTCAACCAACTTTCATGGAACTTGGTACAAAGATACCTTCTTGCATATCCCAGGTAGTGATATAAACGGTTTTTGATTTTTCTGTGTTTTCCATGACTTTTGTGGTGTGAAAATTTGCCATGTTGGGGTTGTGTGGCAGAGACATATTGCATCCGCTCACAAATGTTGGCCTCTTTAATAACTAATCTAAAATAGAGACTTTGATTTACAAAGTGTTAGCCACTACTGTTACGTATCAAAATATACAAAAAGTAAACTTATAAAAAGCAAAGAGAAAATTATTTTATCATCCAGATATGTGTTTTACAGAAATTTAACTGTAAGAAATATTTCATGTATCCTTAACATACATTGGTAGATCCACGCGCTTTACATCACATGTCAGGTATAAAGCAACGATCAACACTGTGAAAGCATTTCTGTATTATATATTTAGTGTTTTTTTTTTTTGTTTCAATATAAATTAACATTACATTTGTTCCTGAAATGGTTCTGCAATATAATGTAGAAACATTAGAACAATTACTTATGCTTTTACCATTTCCATTAATGAAAATGAGGTCTTACTGATTATACGGTGAATCATGACAAAAATAAAATAATAAAGTAACCCCTGAAAGACAATGCACATGCCTTGGTGTTTATTCTCTGTTCAGTATGAATATAGACTTGACATCTGTTTGATACTTTGCTGTATCTCACTCATCAAACATTGCATACTGAAACTCTTCACAAACAGTTTGCTGTTTAAACATTTATTTATTCTGCATGTTTGAGCTCCGAAATTGTTTCTTTCAAGTCTCATTGGTTGTGAGAATCTCATTCTGTGATGTTATTTATATGAAAAAAAAAATAGAAGCATTACATGACCATATAATATGTAATTCTGAATATTATCTAATATACTAATGATACTCTAAGTTGGCATTTCAAGTTAAAAACCCACTACAGTGAGCTGTATTATTGTAGGTGAAGTGTGAACAATTTATGAAGTGTAGGCATGACAAGTGAGACCACATATTAAGATTTTTAGTGTATTTAGCACCACTCATGAAGTAGTTTGAGAAGGCTTTTATTTCAAGGTGTGAAATAATACATTGTTTTGAGTATTATAACATTTATTGAAATCACTTGTACAGAGTTGTATGTTCTTTACACCTTGTAAAAATTGTGTCAACTTATGAAGATACTGTGTGAATCAAGTTTAGTTGTGCTCTGTTTTTCATCTATTAAATGGCTTAACAATAACTGAAGAATAGTTATTAAAAAATAAAATTTATTACAGTAGTTATGATTATTGAATAAGCTAGTATAATATTCTAAACAATAAATTATCAACTCAAGATGTGACATCGGATCATATCTATTGTAATTCAGCTGTTTGTCACTTGGGTATATTAATGCATACTATAAGTTTGTGATATTGGATATAGGATTACTTTTGGCACAAATATTGGTGCCTTTTGGCTTTAATTGACCAAATTCAAATTACCTTTTATTAGACTTTAAAACTAATTATTTAAGTCTTGTGTGCCAGATATGCTGTTCTTTATCCACAAACAGCTGAGCACACATAAAGCTGACACAACTTACCAAAAAGGCAAAATGAAATGGATTGAAGCTGCATGGTTATGATAGTCTTCATAATATTACAGTTGTTGCATGCAAGTTTGATCTGGGTTAATAAATTTTATTAATTTTAATTTATGTACTGCAAATTGTTCCTTTTTTGTCTTGTAATATACTAATTTTTCATTAGGGCCTGTCACTTTGACTTTCAAACAAAAAGGTCTTATTTTTCATCATTCAATTCAGACCGTATAATGGTTCAATTAGACTTTTTATTTGCATCTAAGAGCTTTGTACAGTTAAATATTGTAATTATTTATTATTACTTTTATATTACATTACATGTACCACCTGGTGTTAGTGATTTCTAATCATACACACCTGGAAGATTTTCAGTTATTTTGTCTAAGTTTTTATGGTTTATTTGATACTCATGGTACAAGCATGCCTATACTAAAATCACTGTAAGGCCATATAGTTGCTTTTCTTTTCATAATTCTCTGAATATGGAAAAGTATTATAAATAAATTGTTAATGAATTAGTGTTGTTATATTTTTAAATACATAAAAGATATACATTTTACCTTTAACTTTGCAGAAATTAGAGTTTATATAAAGGATGATTAATTTTGCCGTAGGAAATCATTTTAAATAGAGAATTATACTGAAGTGTACGTATTTTAATTTAGCTCATTATCTAACAATAAATATTAATAGATAATGAAGATCTACATTTTTATTAACTTTCACATCCAGGGTCAGATGGAATAATTTATAGTCTGGAGCCAAAAAATGATACACTTAAAAAACTTTTTCAAGTTTCTGATTCCGAAAAAACCCAGTCTTTTATGATGACCAGTTTAAATGACAGTTATGTTGCTATTGCTATGAAAAATCTGGAAAATATAACAGGAGGTTAGTGTATTTTTTTGTTTTGTATTATGAATAAAACTTTTATTCACTGGCTGTAAGATAACTTGTTTTTGTATATAATACTTCCTTTTATCTATTTTGGCTATGATACTCCATAATAACATTACTGCCATGGCTAATATTTCTCCCCACATTCACTTTTATTGTCTGTTTGCTATTTATGTTTTAACATTTCCAGATTCTTGTGTTGGATATCAACATTTTCTGTCTTTCATCTTGTTTACATGATTTTTACTTTCTGTTGTGTGACTTCTGTATAGCATGTATTTTGAAACAGATCTCTCGGTGAGAATTTGAAGCAAGGTTGTGTTTAGGTTTATTATAAAACAAAATGAAGCTCATGATTACCACTGGCTATGAAATTAACCATAAAAAATATTTTTTTATAAAACTTACAAAATATGTGTAATAAAAAATAGATTAATCTTTAAAAAAATTTTTATTGTCGGCTAAAGTTTTAGTATTAAGAACCATTGTTCATTAAGATATTTTATGGACTTGATAGAATTGGATTAAAATTTTCTTTTTGCAGATTTTTGACTTTAGTTATATTTTTAACTTTTAAGTATCAGGTTGAAAATATTTATTTATACTTGATATGCTGAATATGTGAGCTATTTCTTTCTACACATAGAAATATGTTTAATTCTCAGTATTTCACTATTAAACATGGCTTCTTCAGGAGGTATCCATAACATACAAAACAAATGGTTTTAAAAAAAATGTTTGAAATAGACCTACTACAATAAGGATATTAAGAGCTGCTGGTAGACTTAAACGTAATTTTTCCATTATTGCATCTGCATGCTCATTGGAGTAAAAATGCACTGTTGCTTTGACTGAAACAGAAGTTTCCATTATTGCATCTGTACTGTTGTTCTAATATAAACAGAAGTTTTCCATTATTGTGCATGTATGCTCATTGGATCATATATGTACTATTGTTTTAACTCAAATAGAAGTTTTGAATTATAATATCTGCATGCACGTTGGTACATATACGTATTATTGTTTTAAAGGTGAGGTATCGAGAAACTGTCCAAATGTGTTGAATGTATGAAATAGTCTCAAACTGCAATTTTCAGGCTGTTCTTTTTATCTGTTATAGTAATCAAGTAGAAATTTATTTAATAGTAGTGATTTTGTGACATTTAGTTGAGCTGAGGATGAAGAGCAATTTAAAATTTATAAAAGTCTGTCAATTGTAAATTTCTATTGAACATCAAACCATCAAAATTTGGTAACACCACTTTCATCAAGTTTTAAGCTATTAACACACATTTCACATATCATTCCCTTGTTTTAAAGGAGAGCACTTCTTATTACATTTGGAGATTATACATACACTTGCTATTGTTTTGTTTTAAAATATAATTCAAATTTTATAATACTTGTGCTTGATTTAAAATGTATTAATGATATAATACTCTGCTGAAAATAATAAGAGATAATCAGGGTTTTTGATATTCTAGCTATGAACAGGCAAAACTACTGTTACTAAGTAATGCTGTTGGCAACCCAGAGTCTATTCAAAACATATGTCAGATCACCAGTAACATGATTTGATATGTAGATTTCTACTGTTGTAGCCTATGTTCACAAATGGTTATTTGCTACTACTGAACACCTTGCAACAGAATAAATTATCAGAAAATGTTTGTTAATAAGGCCTATAACCATCTTTGACACAAGTGCAAGTCATACAAGTGGCAAGCTTAAAATGAGTTAAACAATAAGTTTCTGAGGTAATATGGCTCACTCCTCCATTAGAAGTGTTTCTAGTTCACTGATGTTGCTTAAAGGTGAATCTTATCATGAATCATGATAGTGGTTCATAATAGGGATTGCAAGGAATTTCGCAAAACCCTAATAGAATGTTTGGGCAAAAAGCACCTTAAACAGTAAAGATTCAGTTCAAACAACACTTTAAAACCTTTACTGTTGACTACTAAGGCTGCACACATATAAAAAATCATACATGTTAGACTTACAAGGAAAAGAAAATCAGTACATTGGAGAACCATACCATTGTTCATTTGACATAAGGCCAACCTTTATGAAACCTGTTTCTGGCCCATTGCATGCTTATTTGCTTTTTAGTTGCTAACCTGAACTGTTGATTTATTTGGGGCATTGAAGCCCCCTCCCCCACTTTCTATGATCCCATTTTGTAAGTTAGTAGTATCTTGTGTAATTATCAACACTAATTTTTGGAAAACTGTATTAGTGGTCTGAAAGTGAGTCTACATTCTATTAACTATATTTTGTGAAACTTGTAGCTATTCTGCAATAACTTGTTGTTTTCAACATCATTGAAACATCCAGATGTCTTTTTGGGATCCTGGCATGTTTCACTATCGGTCGGATCTCTTTTACACACTGCTATTGTTGAAACTAATAACTGAGAACACATTGTGTTTTCTTCTCTTTTATATACAACTGAAATGAACTTATGAGTGACATTGATATTACATAACAATAACATTTGTGACTTATCATGGCCAGACTATAGAAAATTCTGATGGTCCTTTAATTATTTTAGCAGTTCAATAATTAAATTAATAAGTTGACATATAACCACCATCTCTGATAGTGTTTTATTTACACATCTTGTACTCCTAGAACTTCTGCACAAAACGGAATCTATTTCATTCATTACATGCTCTCTAAACCTATATAAAATAAACCTCTGACCTAAAAAACAGGAATCTTATTGTTTTCTCGCATGTCCTCTATGTAATGATTGAATTTCTACCTAAGCAAGAGGAATTTCGCATAATAGTTCTGCCCTAATGAGAAATCTTATTTTGTACTTTCTAAGCATGTCTGAGAAACACCTACATTTCAGAAATGTTTGTGCATGATGATTTTTATTTGGGTGTTCAGTGTTTTGAAAAAAATATGTAAGACTTTTCTGACTTTGGAATTGGCCTAATCAAGGACTCATACATGGTACTCTTTCCCTTTATAGTTTTTATATGTAAACTATAAAAAACATTTACCCATATACAATACCAACAAGTGTCTGTTACTAAGACCTGATAACGGATCAATGACAGATACTTTTTTATTTACCCTGCTTTTACTTCAAACTATTGGTCTTCATTTTACTTTCACTATAACTTTGCATATCAAAATCAAGCACAAGTATTATAAAATTTGCATATTTCTTTTATATGCTTTAATGGACTTCTTAAGAATTTTTCTAAGACCCGTTTTTATAACATACAAAAATATTCAGTTTTCTTCTCTATTATTTTATTTTTGTATGATATACTACAGTAGTTACAATATCATCAAAAGTAGTTTATATGAATTCAGAGTTCTATAAACAGGGTTTGTCATAAGTAAGATAAAACAATGGAAAAATTTGTAAGCTTTAATGTGTATTTATTTACAGCCATTATCAGAAGTTATATTATTAGAATTATAGTAATTTTAGCCATGTAAGGTGTTACAATTTATATATGTGTGAGCCATAACTTTGTAACACAACATCATTAAACCATTTTTAATAGTAGATAAAGTTATCTCATACATATCTGATTATCTGCATTTGATGGAAGTTTATTACTGTGCAGTTTTCAATAGCATAAAACTTCTAATTTTATCCAACACACTAATACTTATTTTTATAATTGTAGTGATTGTGTATTGAATGATAAAATACTAAGATTTAATTTCTTCTTTTTTTTACAGAGTTTGTTATAGAAATTTGGGACATAAATTTTTGTTTTCAGCATACTAGACTGTTTGTTTCATACCCAATGAGTTGTAAAGGACAGGTAATGTATTAAAATTCTGATATTTAGATTAATATATATTATTAAAAACTTTATATGCTTTGATTGCCATTGCTTAATGATGTAAATTTAAAGGCAAGTGTACCAGTAATATTAGTCGGTAATTTATACTTTCTAACATTCTTGTTACTGTACTGTTATAAAGTGTATTTCAAATGGAAAGAATTATTAGTAGTTAAGTGTTTATTTAAAATAATTATAGTTCTATTACTTAAATATTGATAATTACATAATTATGTATTTTAATAATGATAGTGTATTTAATACTTTTAAAAGTAATAAAACTTTGCTTTGTTAATGTTCACTGTAATAAGATACTAAACTAATTACAGTAGTAATTAATTATTTATTAAGTTACAAAGTAATTATTTTTACTTTTTCTTCAATATATACATATCCATTCAAGGTAACAGTACAGGATTTGTTAAACATGAATTGATTTAAAGCTTGTTGGATATTATGCACCAAATTGTTAATTGACCATAACCACAATTTGGTTTAACTTTTAAATAAAAACAAGCCAGTTGTGTTTGGATATGACATATCAACTTGTCTGTGAAGGCAGAAATTTAAGTTAGTCATTTTTGGTTCATTGTATGGGTCTTTCTTTTTCTCAACCATCTTCTCAGTTTTGTCTTTAGTCTTTTCCTTATCATTTTCTTTGCATGTGACATACTCTGTAAGGATTGAAATTTAATTTCGTTGTGTGCTTTATAGTGTGGGTCTTTTTCATTCCTCTGTGTTATCGTTCTGAAACATTTCCTCAGCCTTGTCTTTAATCTTTTACCCACCCTCTGTAAATTAAGTAATAAATATATTTTTATTGGTTTTTCTGTACTAGTAGTTTTATGAAAGGTGTAGTTACTATGAAGATTCTACTTTGGTACAAGAAACTTGATTTTTTTTTGACAGGATCTTTACTTTTCTTTACTTTTTTTTTTGTGACTACCAAACTTTCCATGGTTGGTAATCAGATTTAAAGATTTGTTTATTCATCCACAATAAATGTAGATTTTTCTAACAATTTAAATGTCTGATTCTATAAAAAACAAATCTACAACATTTGAAAGGATCCTAATCAATCAGAACATTGTACTGTGAGTTAACCTTGAAATAGTTTTTTAAATAATTTCTCAATTTTTCCCAAGGTTATTGAGATATTTGAACAAATCAACATTTTCAATGCCGAGTGGAGTATATTGGCTTGCCCATTTGTCTGTCCAATAGTTCTTATTTTAAGTTAAAGCCTTTAGGTATCTGTAGCTGGTATTTCTAATTGGGGAACATTCTGAAACCCATATAAGGGAAGAAAAAAAAACCAGAATTCAGAACACAGAAATTAAAACTTATGTTAATATTTGAATTGTAAACTACATTTTAACACTAAGTTTATTGACATACAATGATAATAAGGTTGTTTAATTAAATTTTAAATGTAACTATAAAGATTGCTTCTTTTTTTTTCAAATTACTATATATTTAAAAACAATAGAAATAGCTAAGATAAAAGGCTGAAAGAGAACAAAATATATTATTGATCAACAAATAAAATTTTGTTTATCATTGTCATTCCAGATTGTAATAAGTTAATTATGTTTCTCTTTTTGTTTCTGTTCCTTGAAAAAAAATACATATTTTTTTTGTTTACCTTTCCAGTCGAATCCCTAGTTTACATAGGTTTTGTCAAAGGAGAGAGGACCATCTCATATTTGTTTCTTTTGATTACCTTCACAGTTATGTTGTGACCTGTAGCTTTGTCCTGTAAACTGCCTACTTTATCTGAAATGTTGTAATGATTTCACTTTTGTTTCAGAGATGAAAATTGGCTGCCAGTTGTAAGATTTCTACCATTTTTATTGTCAAATTAGCCATCCACCCAATTCACTCAAATCCAATAAGAAAAATGCTGAGAGGGAGGGAGACAAAATATGTACCAGTAGGCTTGACTTGAGAATTCCTTTTGTGCATTGATGTTAATGCTAAACCAAAATTATATGCAAGGCTCCTATAAACTGTCCGATTGGCAGACAGCTAACTAATATTTTGAAAGCAATGGTATCTAGACAATTTGGGTTTGCACAAATTCCTTAAAGTGCAGCGGTAGATGATTGAAAAGGATTGTCACAGAGAAAGCCTTTAAATATTTTGCTACCTAAATGCCTTAATGGTGTGTGCTTTTTGGTTTACCTATTTCTTTAGAATTGCATAAAATAGATATTTTTTATTTCATTGGACATCATGTGTGAAGTCATGTATGGAGTCTAAGTTGAACATACATAGATATGATCAGGTGAAATCTGGAGGGGGACAGGTATGCAACAAGGCTATTAAAATTGTATTTCAGTAGTTTTTGCAACAGTAGCCCGTTTAAATGCTTTTCTGCACAAGTCGCTGTGTTATGTTCAAAGTTTAGTTAAACACCTTTACTATCAATATATGTGAATGAAATTATTATTATAATGTATGAATTAAAGTTTTATTTTATGCAAGTTGTTTAATTGAAAATAAACCTTTAAAAACTACTTAAAAATTCTCTACTTTGGCTCTCTGTTTCTTCAATAATACAATGGTAGTTGAATAGAGGTACGTCTAGACAATACATTGCTTACATAACCTTTTGACTCATTCATTTCAAAGTTCTCTGAATGAATACAGTTGAAACAAGTAATAAATTTTTTTCAACACCTGACAGGTGCCATGCCCACCTTCAACAGATTTGTTTGAGCTTTATAGTCTACATGTACATGCTACATACACGTGTATATTCATTAGAAAGATATCATTTTACACTATAATCTAACAACGGTTATTTTAAAATTGGTACACAGCTGTCATTACAGATTACATATAATTGACTCCAGTACTGTTGGCTGCTTGATCGACTATAGCACTTGCAGTTGTTTCTTACCTAAGTACATTAAAGTTAGAGATACAGTTTACGTTGTACTTAGGTCTTACTATTATATTTTATTTATGTATTAGTTATATTTTAAAATGCATAATTAAAAGGTTTAAACATTTTTAAAATATACATAATACTTTGCATCCATTCTCACGGTTTATGATATTACATACAATGCATATAAATGAAATAAATTATAGTTTATTGAAAAAAAAAGTGTATTATTAGATACAAATTGATTTTGGCCAAGAATATTGTTACTTAGTCTGATCTTTTGATGATTTGAATGTTCAAGCCCTAGGCCACCAATAAATTTTTCTCGCTTTATGGAAATGGTAACTATTGAAATTTACAAAATAAATGTGTTAATGAGTGTCAATCAAATTTAAACTGTTTATAAAAAAGAAGGTTCTGATTAACGTTAAAAAACATGTAAATTCAAATATGAAAGGACGTTTTTCTTTTCTTAACCTTGTCTCTCACCAAAAGTTTGGAAATTTCACAACATAAAAAATTATACAAAAACAAAATCTGTTATGTGCTTCTTTTCTTAACCTTGTCTCTCACCAAAAGTTTGGAAATTTCACAACATAAAAAATTATACAAAAACAAAATCTGTTATGTGCTTCATGCAAGTTGTGTAAGTATTTTCACTATTAGAAGGGAAAAATCAATCGATATCAGTTTCAGACCTCTGTTGGGAGAGAGTTAAGAAACATTTCTTAATATTCTTGTTCAAATAAGTTTTGTTTTTGTGTTGCAGATGACATTTTTTAATGGCAATTTTTATGTGCCATGTGAGCAAGGCGTGGTTTCTGTTCCTTACCTCAATCAGCCTGCTTCCTTAGCTCGAGCTGTGGGTCGGCTGCCCTCTCTTAGTACTTCAAGTTTTAGTTCTCATTCTGAAATGTTGCACTGGAAGAAAACAGGAGTGGTAAGTAAATGTAGTTTCAATGATTTCTTTTGTATTCCCAGTGTAATTTGTTTGTACTGTTATCATTCAAGGAGTGGTAAGAAAATGTAGTTGCAATGATTTCTTTTGTATTCCCAGTGTAATTTGTTTGTACTGTTATCATTCAAGGAGTGGTAAGAAAATGTAGTTGCAATGATTTCTTTTGTATTCCCAGTGTAATTTGTTTGTACTGTTATCATTCAAGGAGTGGTAAGAAAATGTAGTTGCAATGATTTCTTTTGTATTCCCAGTGTAATTTGTTTGTACTGTTATCATTCAAGGAGTGGTAAAAAAATGTAGTTGCAATGATTTCTTTTGTAGTCACAGTATAATTTGTTTGTACTGTTATCATTCCAGGAGTGGTAAAAAAATATAGTTGCAATGATTTCTTTTGTAGTCACAGTGTAAGTTGTTTGTACTGTTATCATTCCAGGAGTGGTAAAAAAATGTAGTTGCAATGATTTCTTTTGTAGTCACAGTGTAAGTTGTTTGTACTGTTATCATTCCAGGAGTGGTAAAAAAATGTAGTTGCAATGATTTCTTTTGTAGTCACAGTGTAATTTGTTTGTACTGTTATCATTCCAGGAGTGGTAAAAAAATGTAGTTGCAATGATTTCTTTTGTAGTCACAGTGTAATTTGTTTGTACTATTATCATTCCATTATATGAGGACCAATTGTTTTTCTGAATAACACTATAAGTATCTTCATTTTATCCTCAAGAAAATACTACAGTTTAGCCTGCTTTAAAAACACTTTAGGGGCTGCTATGTTATGTAGTAGCTATCTAAACAGTAAGGCACTAAGCTTTACATTAGTATATTTACATAACAAACATTTATTTTGTCTCACTCATAACTAAAATTTGAATAGAGTAACAGTCGTGCACATGATGTTAATGTGTTGTTATGCAAGACAGTTATGTTGTAATTGATCTGTGTGTGTTAATCATAAATTGTAGTTGTATAAATATGTCCATGTTCATATTGTACAGGCACAAAAAAGTAATCATTCCTAGTGAATTTTGAATGCTTACAGAATACAGGCCATAATTAATGAAAAGTATACTGAATTTCATTGTAAATGAGAAGTTTTCCTATTTTCAGACTGCCATTTGCTACTTTATAGACATGATGTCATTATTACATTGTTCATTATACATATGAAAATATGTTTCTTAGGGGTCCACAATTTCTGCTATAAATGTCCTCAACTGTACTGGGTTTTCTAAGTAAATATTATCCTGATGAGAAAATGAGACCTGAACTTGTAACAGACAGTAACTTTGTATTGCTTAAAGACATGAATTACGACAAATCTTTGCTTCATCTTAATATCTGCTGTAATGAGATGATTTTATCTTAGAGATAACAGAATGATTATATTTTAATCATAATGGATAATTATGTTTTAAATGTAATGGAATTATGTTTTATGTTAGATAATAAAATGGAATTTTTAAAACTGTTGATGTTTGCCTCTTTTGTTAGGTATCATTCCAGTATAAGAAAGACCAACAAAATGATGACATTTTAGAACAGTACTTTCACAGTGGAGGGAGGAGTGTTTCTCTGTAAGTCAATTATTTCTGTGCAATTGTTTAAGATATTATATGTGTCTTGATCTTTAAGGTATTAAGTAAAATAACATAAAAAAGCATGCAAAATTAACTTAACTGGTAATCTAAAACTGGAGATTGTCATTACAGTTTAACCTAGTTAATCCAAATACATTTGTAATGAAGTAAATATTGAAGGTTATTGAGACATCCAGTAAATCTGAAGACAATTGAGCACTATTAGCCCTCTGGATACAAGTAGTTAATAGAGCAAATATCATGACCTTTTTACAGAGATACATTCAAAATTTAATTAAACTACTTTATTTTCAATGTATGTCAACAAACTTGGCATCAAAGCATAGTTAATAAATCAAATTTTGATATAAGTTTTTATTCTCTTAATTTCATAAGAGAATATTTAAAGAAATTCTCAGTCTTCACTTTCTTTATTACATGACATTTGTATCATTCTATTATACATTTTATATAATCTTTCTACCTATTTGGGCTGTTGTTTCAATGCAAGTTATAAACTTATAGCTATTGCTTAGATATAATCTAACTTTATATCCTCTAATCATCTTTTACTTAGATATAAACCAGAAAGTTCAACCCACATGCCACTCCTATCACATACTGTCTTTCAAAAAAATGTCAATGAATATTAATGATGATTGTTACATTGTTTATAACCATTAGAAAATATTTTAATTTATTGATTTGCTTATAATGCTAGCTCATTCTCACAACAGCTCTTGTATTATTCGGCATACAGATTCAAAGTTCAGCTGGACCAGCTAATAGATTTATTTTAACACACTTATAGCTTAGTTAGAAAGCCATTTTTATTATAATAGTTATAGGACATTGTATGCTTTGTGTGTGTGTTATTATTTTGTGTTCCATACTGAATGTTTGAAATAAAATTCAGTAGAGTACTAATAACAACAACTCGCAAAAATTAGGGTTAACATTTTTGATGCTTTGTTAGAATTAGAAACATATTAGGTTAGGTAAGAAAATATATATATATATAAAAAAAATTTCTCAGCCTGTTATGTATATGTGCTGTACATGCAGTACTTAATTCAATAATTTGTTTTACTGTTACTTGAGTTATTTGCTTGTCAGCTGTTTAGAGCTTTGTTACACATGTTTAGTACTTAGACATGGTTCAAAGACTAATAAAACAATAAAATTAAATACAAATAGAGGTAAACTAGTATATGCCTGAGGCTGTTTAGGATAAATAACTAATTTTCAGTTGCAACCTGCAGCCATTCTAAAAAGGTAATTTAGACTTATTTCATATTTTTTTGGTGGTTAAAAAGGTTGGTGAGATGGACCAAGTTCATGTAGTGTAATGGTAGAGAAAATAATATGTAGAATATAAAGGTGTACTCAAAAAATACTTTCAATATTCGTTTAGAAGGTTCTAGAGGCTATACTAATGAAATTTGAAAAGTGTAAGATTACAAATAGTAATTTTAATCTTAACACGAAAGCACTTAGATTAGTCAGGAGCTGAGTCAGACTATGCCTCCATAAATTTACAGACAAATCATTAGTAAAAATAATTAAAAGAATCTGATTTTTTTGTGCACAGAAGTCTTGTAATATTTACTAAAAGCTTGTCAAAATTAGTGAACATACACTTACTACATTAAAAGTTATAGTATTTATATTTTCATGGTTACATTATGGTTAAAAGGTTGGTCAATATGACTAAGCCCGTGTACAAAGTAGTAATGATGGGCACACAACTAGTAAAAAAAAGAAAACTTTACGTGCAATAAAATTAGCAGTTTATTATTTTATATGTCATCAATAATTACACGAATTACATAAATGAAGTGGCATATTATGTCTTTATCATCACATAAATCATAATTTTATTCAAACTAATGATTTATTTACATGATACAAAATACATAGTATTGCTTGCATGTATAAATAAAAATTGCATGTTAATGATGCTAATATTTCTATGCATCTTCATTTTGGATCACTGTGAGTTGACATGACTGTAGCATAAATCACTCTGATGACCTCTTGATATGTGTTATTGATTATATGTAAATCACTATTGTTAAGGTCATTCTCAGAATAATGTTGCAAAGTGGTACTTACTTTAAGTGAAGGTTGGTCTCAGAAGTACTGTTGTAAATCAGTATTCATTGATATTGCAGATGTTTTGTGGCCAGTAATTATTACCATGTTTCTTTTTCTTATCAACCCTACTTGACTCTTGAGGATTCATGTATGGATTACTGAATTATGTATCCATAGGAAATGTGTGTTTGTGGTAAGAAATATCCATTTGGATTGGGATGGAACTGTACAGATTATTGACTAAATTTCCCATTGTCAAGATTTAACTATATGAAAAATCATCCAGATTGTCCATGTACAGACTAACAAGGGTACACTGTATTTATTGAGTGTTAATAGTGAAAAATGTAAGAAGATTATTAATTTATAATGTTCATTTGTATAAAACATACTCTGTGAGTCAGTTCACGGCTTATATCTCTTTAATTCTATTATGAACGGTGTATTCTTTTCAGGTGTTGAGTGTACACTGTTGTATAAAATTTCAAAATATAAGTAAAAAATGTAATTCTAATTCCGTTTCAACAGCTTTTTACAGATATTTTACAGCTATTTACAAATATTTTGATGTTGATATTTTAGCATTAAATAACAAATAAGTTCACTTCATAAAGAAAAATTGAAATATTCCACCTTTAATTTCTTTTTTGTAACTCTGAGGACACATTTATCAGTTTTTTTTCATTATCTAAAAACAAAATGCACATCCCAAAATGTAGGTTTATATTTGAGAAGAATCTATCATCTCTTGAAAATATAATGATACATTTTTTCTTTTTCTAGTCATTTTTCTTTCATGTCCGTGGTTTTGTTACTACAGCTCTTTGTTGCAACCCTGTTATGATATCATACTGTATGGTCTGAACAATTACTTATGAAGCTGAAAATAGCTAGAGCCAATGGATGAAAGTTATTGCATGGAAGAGTATTTGTTGACATATTAGCTACCAGGAGCTCCTTTATAAGTGAATGAAAGACCCTAATGTGAAGTTTAGAAAACTTAGAAACAAACCACAGATCTGAAAATTCTTTTATAGTTTCTTTTGACATTATTTTTGTTCTTAATCCTTTTTTTTGTTGTTAAATTATATCCGAAAGCTACAGAAATATTCTTCTAGGTCAAGGCATGATATAACATTAATTAGGTTTAACAAGTACAGTATTAGTGGCAAACTGTTCTGATGTCCTTTTTTTTATTGAATATATCAAGATTATTGTATTTAACAATTTCCTGAAAGCAAACTACATTTATCAGGTAGTAATTGATCTTAACGTAGGTATATTGTTGGCAGAAAACACACAAAACGATGCCTGACAATGGTTACAATGATGTCATTTTGAAAGGTGAGGTCTTTGGTCACTGATTACTTTTTTTTCTTTTTTTTGTCACATTTTGTATGCTGTATAACCAAAAAGTGGTAAGTTCTTTGCTTTGGAAAAATGTAAACATAAAAAAACTGACTGTCAAATTGTATGTCTGGGCCAGATTCTTTACAGTAGGTGTCTGTGATTTGTTGGTGATAAATTTCAACATCAAACAAACAGCACACAATCCACTTATTTTAAAATAATATATTAAAATAAGTCAAATGTATATACAAATGTTTGTTACACTGTTGGTTATCACATTTATATCTATAGCTTTAAATAATTCTCTTTTTCATCAAAGTTCACACAGGCTGGTTCAGTTACTTTAGAACACAATTAGCAAGACAAATTATTTATACTCTACTCTATTATTACAATACAGTCTATGATAATTTCACTTTAGAAATCATCGCTATACACCCTTTATGGACAAATTCATAATCACACAATTTAGATCTATTTTTCAAACTAAATTTTCGATGCATATTTATACCCCACTAGAGGCCTAGAATATTTCACACACTATGAGATATTATTATGCAATAATACTTAATTAAAACAATGAGAAAGACTAAGAAGGTTCTTGTAACATGATACAGAAATATAACAATTGACCTACACAACATATGATTCTTAAACAGTTATGTAAACAAGCTTGCAATAAACTATCACTTCTAAAAATAACTAAATTTAACACTTGAGCTATATAACTATCTAAATTACAAAGACTATTTTCAGTTCATGCACAAAGTCTACTCGTACAGTCTACACCAACATTTGCAGTCCCTTTGATGGCCTCAATGTGGAAATGATAATTTTAGAGGTACAACGCCTACCTCGTGATTCTCACACTGTCAATTTTGCACCTCTGGATGTATGCAAGGGATTGATGGTCCATCTGAATAATGAATTCCTACCCGTAGCAGTAGTTCAGGAATTTCAAGATGGCAAATATGAGGGCCAGACACTCTTGTTGGACCACAGAGTAGGTCTTCTCACTACTCAACAGCTTTTTACTGATGTATCTTACAGGAAACAGTCCGTCTACATGGTGTTTCAGAAGTAATGCTCCAATTCCAAGGTCTGATGCATTGACCTGAAAGATGAATGGTTTGTTAAAGTCTGGAATTCTAAGGATTGGCAAACTTCCTAATATGTTCTTCAACTTCTGGAATGCCATTTGATGTATTTGTTCCCACTTCACCTTGTTTGGTTGGCCTTTATTGGTTAGGTCAGTCACTGGTGCAGTGACTTCAGCATAGTTTCGAATGAACTTCCTATAGAAATCTGCTGACCCCTGGAAGGTCTGACTTGCTGTTTGGTCATTAAGCTGGTGCATCTGGTACGCGAGTTAGTTTCTTCTCTTCCATGGCTATCTGTCTGTTGCCCACCTTTTGTCCAACAAAGTCCAGCACAGAATAACCAATGTAGCACTTAGGTGGTCTGATGGTCAGACCTGCTACCCTCACTTACCTGAACAGCTCTCCGAGTTTCTTCAAGTGGTCTTCCCATCTGGCTGTGTGGGTAAGAATGTTGTCCACGTTATGCTTGATGTTGGTGGTTTTATGCAAGATCTTCCTCATCATGCAGTTGAATGTCCCTGCTGAGATGACTAACCAAAATAGCATCCTCTTGAACTGGTAGCACCTGTCTTGTGTCACAAAGGCTGTCTTCTCCTTAGATTCTTTCTTCATCAGGATCTGCCAGTAACCTTTACTGAGGTCAATCTTGGTAAAGAACTTGGCCCTGTCTAGTTTCGCCACGATAGCCTCTGGATTGCCTACAGGTTTGGAGTTGAATTTCATCACGAGGTTCAGCTTCCAGAAATCTGTGCAGAAGCAATTTGAGCCATCCCTCTTCTTCACAGTTACCACTGTGAACAGTAGGCTGAATTCAAAGGCTCAATGATTCCAGCATCTAACATTACCTTGACTTCTTGCTTGCTCAGGTCTCTCATTACATAGGGCATCTGATAGGGCTTCTCCTTGACTGGATCCCTGGTCGTGGTCTCGATCTTGTGTGGTATATCTGTGAAGACATCTGTGTACTGGCACAGTAGATCTTGTAATTCTTTTGTTCTGCTTGCCAGTCAGTTCTTCATTGATGTTGACATCTTTGTATGTCTCTTCTCCACCCAGCAGTCTTAGGTCTACCAGGTCTTCATCTTCTAGGACAAAGTCACCATCTTCTGGTTATGCATTTATGACAGTCACACTTGCTATGTCCATCTGTGCCTCAGTAGCTGCACCTGTTAGGTTTTCTTCCCTCTCAAAGTACCTCTTCAACAGATTGGTATGGTAGATCTTGGTCTTCCCATCCACTTTCACCTTATAGCCCATTCTGTTGACCAATTCCTGCACTTCAAAAGGTCCTTTCCACTGCAGGGTGAGTTTGTTGTTGCTTGTGATTAGCAGAACCAAGTCCTTCTGTCTGACCTTGAAATGTTGATCCTTGGCCTTGTCATAGAAATGCTTCTGACTGTCTTCAGCTGCATACAAGCTTTCTTGAGTTGACAGGTCTCCTCCAGTCAGTTTCTGAGGTCTAACACATACTAACAATGTGTTCCTTACTTATGACTCTTCTCCTCCTGTCCTTGTATTGTTCTTCCATATAGCTACATCAAAGGTGAAAATCCTGTACTTGCTTGTGGGATTTCTTGGTAAACAAACAGTCTTTAAGACTCTGTTGACTTTCTCACAAAGTCCATTACATCTGGAGTTGTATGGGGTAGTAAAGAGTTGCCTAGTGCTGATAAAGTTAATGTTTTATCTTTGAAAATATTCATGTAATACATCAATATATGTTCTTCTGTACCTATCACAATGTTTTTTTGTATTAACCAGGTTATATCAAGATCTATTTAAAAAGATTTGTGAGAAATTGGATTTCGCAGCATTGTCCAAGTTGCTGAAGCAAGTCTCTGACATTCCAGAGAAAGTGTTAGTAGACATCTTAAACTATTTGCTCAGGTAAGGTTATGTATGTGAAATTGACTTTCATTTCATAGTATACTTTAAGGTTTGTTAGGTTTAGAGTTTTAAAGCAGACATTTGATTTGTTGATTTTATTTTGATATACAAGAGAAAGAACTGTTTCTTCTAATTGTTAATAATGCAGCTTTCTTAATGGATATAAATATGAGTATAATCTGGTGGTTGAGTTTACTGCCAGATTCCCTACTTGATAACTCTGTATAAATCTTGCTTTAAGGTATCATGAATCAAGCTATCTTAAGAACGAGTCTTTGGAAAATGTGTTATTGCCACAGTACTAAATATTATAACATAGAAATATTCCCAGGATAATTTTTAATTTTCTGATTATATATATGATTAGTTTTATTTTTCTAATCCTGCTTTTATTGATTGTATGAAAAGCATACTTTAGTAAAACAATTCATCATAGTTTTAAGGAATATAATATTACTACATAATCCTTTCAGTGCTGGAGAAGAAGTGTTTGCTGGAGAAGAAATTTTTGCTGGGAATGATGAGAAGAGTACAGACTGTCCACTAAATGATTCAAGATCTTCTCTAATGTATCCTTTAATAACACTTAACCCTAGAATGTGGTCTGTTTTCCACCTGCTTTTAAAACACATTTCTCTAAACTGTTTGCTTTTTGGTTCATGACTTTGCTAGTTATATGATGTCTATTAAAATTTAAGTCACAAAAAACATTAAAGAAAAACATCATCAACAGTACAATTAATCCCACTTACTACTTTTGGGGGTTCCCAATGTGTTTCACATAAAAACAAGTGATTTCACCCAATTTTTGTGTCGGTTCTTTATACTGAGTGCTGTAATAAGCTATAACATAAAATTACCCAAATGATGCAATATATATGGAGCATACCAGTACAGGAGCTTGCACCTCTGTTCAGACATGCTCACGTTATATTAAAGTAACTTAAATATAATAGATAAGGTTTAACAGCTAATGTGCAAAATTACTACAAATCTTCTTTTATGAGTATATTAATGTGTATTGTAATTTATTTTTATCATTTTGAGACTGTGACCTACTGAATGAAAAACTTTTGTTATTGAAAAGACTCAAGTTGTTCAAAGCCACTGATCCCTTGGTTGTAAGGTCACAATATAATTTCCAAAGTTTATGGAAGCTTTATATATGTTAGAAAGTCATAGTTTTTAACTTTATATGAAGGTATTAAAAAAATTAAAACTAATCATTACATGAAGTATTTATTAATGCAGGAGTAAAAGCTAATGATAGCATGATATATTGATGAAGTTGTCAGTTTCAAACAACGATGTCCATGATTCCACAATGTATGACTGAAAGTACCAGAGTAAAACATCAAAGCTCATGATTGCATGTTGTACGTGTGAAAGTAGTATAGTGACAGAATGAAAAAGTAAAACTCGTAATTACATTATATAATTTGAAAGGTATCAGAGTAAAATAACACAGCACATGGTTATGTGATGTATATATAAAAGTAGCAAAGTAAAATAATAAAGCACATGATTGCATAACATATGTAAGAAAGTGCCACAGCTCATAATTGCAAAAATGCAGTATGTATAAAAAAAACGATATCAAAAGAATGAGAACTCATGATTGGATGATGTATGTATGAAACTTCCATTGTCCATAAATCTATGAATCATAAATATGTGAGAAAAAAAGTTCCTAAATGTCATATGTGAAAAAGGAAGTTTTAAAATGAAAGAAATCTTCTTAATACAAGTGTGCATCAAAGTTTATAAAACATTTGTGAAATTTATTTTCGATTATGTTGAAATTGCCATGCAAGTTATTTGCTAATCAATCATTGTTAAAGTTTTTCACCTGTAAAAGAAATATATTAACTTACCTGTGGTAAAAAAAGCCCATATTGTGAATGTGTGTCACCTGCTGTTTTGAATAAGAGCATCTCGGCTGAATGGTCTAAACAAATTAACAGTTTCCAAAATGAAATGAGTTATAGGATTGTTTAGTCAACAGGAATTATGAATTCATACATATCTTAACCTGGTTGTTTTTGTTTCTCACAGATTAATTTTGAAGATGTATTTTAGTTTTATTTTCATAATTTTCTAAAGTACAGTTTGTACATTTGTATATAAGATTATTTATAAAATTAATGTATCTAAAATCATTAAAAAACAACATCACATATGTTGTAGAAAAAATCTAGAATTTTTTTATAACTTTGTCAATTTAGTTTTCCCATTTAATAAAGAAAATATATATTTGTTTGTGTACTAATGTGTGTAATGTATAGTAATATGAACCTCCCAAGTGTGCAAAGTGTATTCCTATAGAAATTTATTTCAAAGCTTTGCCAATAAATATCATAAATATTTGATAACTTAAATAATTTGAAGGTAGATATCTAGAAGTTTTTCTTCCCAGAGTTTTGAACACAGAAGGTTGTAGTCTTAGAATTTAGTTTTCTTTTGTACTCCAGATCCTAAAAGTTTGATACATGGATATATTTTTATTGGAAGGTTATGGAATGTTTTATGAAATCATGATTATAAGCAATTTCAATCTAATACATTTTATTTCTTCATATAATGCATCTTAATTTAAGGTAATGTAATATGCCAATAATATTAAATGAATTTTAAAAAAAGTCTTGGAAAAACCCAAAATTTGTTAAGGTAAAGGCATTGAATTAGTTGGTGTCTTAATTGTATGAAACTCTGCTTTCCACAGTAGTCTTTTTAATTTGTAATTGATAATGTACGTAAGGCAACAAAGAACTTCACATTTATTTGTGTTAATTTTTATCTTAAAGTTTTAAGTATTATAATGATTTTTTTTTGTGGAGAGTCAAACAACAAATATGAATTGTGAAGAATACCAAAGTATTAGAAATCCTAAAAAATCTGTTCTCTGACATAGATACTACAGTACACTTCTTGACTTTATAAACTAATCCACCTCCTGTAATAGTAACTTATTACATACACAAAGATAGTACAGTTTCATAACAATAAAAGATGCAAGTCTTACATGATGTTTCAGTACACAAAATCTTTCATAGAGACCTTGATACACTTGTAGATTCACTTGAAGTTATGTGTTGTTGCATTTTGTGTGGAGTTTCAGTCAGTATCAGTACAACTGTAAGTGACCATATATTAGGGAATGGTAGTCTGCTTTGAAATTACCTGATTAGTTCATGTAGTAACATGTGGATGTAACAGCAGTAATAAAAATTGTTAGCAAATACATTTTATTTCTCAAGAAATGTTTTTTTAACATCTTATAACTATGAGCTGTATTATTTTACAAAAGTAAACCATTAAAAATCCAGATGAGTTGCAGATTTAGTGCAAATATAGCAAGCTTCATCTACATTTCTAACACACAAATTATTTTTAACTTTCAAAATGCTAACTGAAGTGGCTGAAACTTTGAATATGGTGATTTCCAGGTATCTTTATTGTATCAATCTTTTAGTATTTCACCTTTATCAGAATGTCTACTGTTATAAGTAACACATCACAGAGTTCCTCTTTAGTAGGGAACAGACAGGATTAAAAGAAGAATCTTGCAAACAAAGTGCATGCAGTGCATATTGCATTACTAGCTTAGGAAGTTCTACTTTGAAACTAGTTAACAATGTAGAAAATGATTTGCTTGAACTCGTTTCTTTTTGTTGTTTTTTAAACACTGCTGTAGTTATGATATCAGTGTTTGGTGGTGGATCTTGTTTTGCCAGCTAATGTTACAAAAAGGCATTATGTTTTTTTGTATTGCTTTTATGTATTCCAAGATTTTAAAGTGTAGTTGATCATTCTAAAGAAATGACCTTGTATACAAAGCTATGTTGTTAATGGTAGTAATTATACAAATGTTTTGAGGTAACTTTTTCACTATAAGACTTTGTTTTTTCTAGAACACTTAGTGGTAGATGAAAAGGCAGAACAGACTGCTTAACTTTTTTTAGATTGTTACCTGAGTTTAGAAGGAGTTTGATGAAAAAAGCTGAATTTTTTTAATGTTTTTTTTGTGCCAATAAAAAACATATTTCTACACCACTGAATGTAAAGCCCTTATTTCCTAGTATGATAAAATTAGTTTGGATCCTGACTTTTGGGTTATATATATGCATACAACTGAGTATTTGGTGTTATTTAAAAGTTTTCTGCTTTATAACACTCACAAGACACCATTGAACTGTCCTTTGGCACACTAATGACTGCTATGAACCTTTACACTTCAGTACACAAAAAATATGCATCTCATCCATGATTTTTAATTATAACTCATGTCACTCAACTACCATAAAATAATAGATAAACTAGTTTATACTGATTCAGTTTTAATATTAAGAACAATGAATTTTGAGCCACATAAATCCTTATGTCATTTTTACTGACAAACCAGTTCAGAGTTAACATTTTCAGTAAATACAACAGAAATACAGGTAGCTTTTCTAAATGCCAGCAACAATATTAAACATACAGTCATTCTTTCTATGTTTTCATCTATGATTTGAAAGTGTTAAACTTCATTTACCTTCCTCGTTAGAAGATATTATTGGTCAAGTGAGGAAGGCTATTTATCCAATCTCCAAGTTTGTGGGAAAAAAAAAATTATCTGTACATCTTTGGCACCTTTTGGAGTATTCATTTCTATTTTTTCTTTGTCCTGTCAAATCCTACTTGTCCTTTTGATATATGTTGTAGTATTTTTGGTTGTTGAGAATTGGTCTTTTTAGATTGGACTCTGTAAATAACTGAAAATTCACTGTCACTCCAAATTACTATGTTTTCAGAGATGTTGATTATGCTGTGTTTGTGCTTATGAAATATTTTGTTGATCAGATATAACGTTTGCAGTATTGTTTTTTACTATATACAAATGCATTTATGTATTTTTGAAATATTTTAATGTAGCAAATAACATTTATTATACATTAAGCCTTGTAAGATTTGAAAATGATTTTTTCTACATTTGAAATTATGAAATAAATAAGTTTAGGTATGTTATCTTGTGTGTCTATGTATGAAAAATAGAATTTTACCTCAATGTCTACCACAGAGATTTAGTCCTCTGTTACCCTTACAATGAGGCTTTCATTTTACCATATCTCAAAGTACTGCATCTCAATCAGATTATGGTGAGTTTACTAAAATTTGTTGTATTTCTTAAATTGATTGCATTATCTTGCATTACGATACAGCTAGATACAACCACTGTTTACTGAAAAAATATGAATTATATAACCTGAGTGTCAAGTTATATTTGTTCACTTTGTAAAGCAAGTTATTTAGCACTGGAAAGTCCCTGAAGTATATGTAACTGTAAGTTGATGATGTGCTCAGAAATTAAGTATATTTTAAGTGTATAATTTTCATTTTTTCTTTTTAATTATATTACTTGTTCATAATTGTGTTGTTTTCTCCTTAACTGAAGACTTCAGTTGCTGAGCTGTCTCTAATCTGTTTTAATTTCTTGTTTTAGTTGTTGATTCGGTATCTTCATTATCTCTTGAAAGTTGCTCCATACCTAGAGACGTCAGATAGAAGTGAAGTCACTGTAACTAAGGTAGGAACTGTACTGTATCTAAAGACACTTTAGAGTACTACATTTACTGTAACTAAAAAAAGAATGTGCCTATAGCCAGAGAGACATACAGCTGTGAGAAATTTGACATTTTATGTAAGCATAACATAGGTATACTTCTAATGTAACATACTTGTGTAATAAATCACTGACTGTCCCATAAACATACATTATTATTCCTGTTAGGTATCTGTGAAATTCTTGCATTATATGGGTGCTTCTATCTCATCTGTCATGAGCAGTAGCATCACACAAATTAAAAATGTCATGGGTCTTCCACAAAATGGGTGGTTTCCAACTGCCTGTAGCTAATATAGTCAAGAACAAATTAATCTGCACCTAAAGATATCAGAATTAATTACAATTATTGTAACCAAGGTTACAGCTTGTACATGTAATCATTACTATAGTTCAAATATTGTGATCAATGTAATAGTAACTAGTCTTTCATTAAGGGGATGAGAACTCCAGTTATCTTTGTCTATGGTAACAATGTTCCTAAATCTATATTCATTATATCCAAGTTGTTGCTGTAAACTACTATCAAAGATTGGACATTAGAAAGTTTTAAAATAATATAAGTTGTCTTAGAGATTATTGACTTCTAGAGTTAAGAAAAGCCATTTAATATTTACTGAGAAAAATTTATCCTTCTACGTCATAATTATGGAATGTATTTATGCCTTTGGACTTCTTTGAGTTGCACTCCTACGTTTCCTGATATCTTTTTTACTGAATTTGATATAAAATACATTTTCAAATTCTTTAATAGCCTAATAACTGTTGAAGTCTTTTCGTTTTCCTGAAGTAATTAGTGTGTGAAACTAGTTAATAAAGGAGTGATTTTATTTGAAAGTTGGTGGTATTTCTTTTTTTGGATTGAATATAGGCTGCAGCGTGGATGGTAATGATTTTTACAGCCAAGTTTGAAGAGATACTGGTTTGTAGTGATGAGTCATCAAAACAGTTAATTAGAAGCTTGATAGATACCACAAAGGAACTGGTTAGTTTCTGGATTTTATATCTTTGTAATGCTAGATAATGATTTGAAATATGGAACATTGATTCAAGAAATAAATTATTTACATGGAAGTTAAAGTAGTATGAATCATTCAATTATATGCCGTCAGTTTTATTCGTAATGAAAAGAAGACCATCTAAACTCAAAATTTAACTTTAAGAGCCTTTCAGGAGGAATGTTTAATATTTTTGTTGTAACATTTTACAAATATTTATGAAATATGCATTTTTAAACCCACCTCTTGAGAAATGAAAATTAAGTTTGGGGTTTTAAATTAAAGGAAATTCTTGTAAGGTGAACCAAACGTGTAAAATCCTGATTTTGAACAGAAACTTTTATATATACATATGTGTGTGTGTATGTGTATTTTTACTTTCATGTTTATCGTTATTTTTCTGCTCTTCATCCAATCGTAGCAGAAATCATGTAAAGACACTTTGATGATGGGACTTATCACAGCATTGAAAAAAAGACTGGAAATGCCAAAGGGAAAAAAGGCTTCCAGCCTTTACTGTATAGAAGTTTTATGTATATGAATTGTCTGTCATCTCTGTCTTGTTGTATATTCATCAGTTTAATAAAAAATATTTCAGTTTTTCAAGTTTTTGTGCACTCTTATTGTTTTAAAAATACTTTAAATCTGATGTTTGGAATTTTAATAAATGAAAATTATTTTATAAAACATCAAAATATTTACTGTTTAGATAGATATATATATGAGTGAAAATAATCAAATGAGTCACTTTTTTCTCCTTAAATTTGATACAATATGCAAATGTATACTTTATGTAAACACGTTTTCTAATTCTTCTATGAAAGTATTGTTGTGAAGATAAGTGCAGAATAATTGACAATTCTGTTTTCTATTATTTATTTTTATATCAGTGAAAATGAATGACAAATTATAGTAGTATTTATGCATTTTACAAGAAAAATTAAACTTTGGTTAAATTGACCATGAATGAGAATCCTTATTCATTAAGTAACATGATTATAACTATTTAAACACAGTAGGAATGTCATCAGTTAAAGATTGCATGAATGAATGGGAAATTATTTGTAAACATTGTGTGCGGATAAATCTATAGCTGACTTAGTGTGAACTCAGAATTATGAATATATACTGCATGAAATATAAACAGTAGTTGAAAATAGTGTGAATGTGAAACTGAAGTTCAACATAGCAGTACTAATGTAATACATTAGCAAATACAGTATGAATGTGAACTACAGTTAAGTATAGACTGAAAGAAAAACCATTGTCAAACATAGCATGATTGTGACATGAATAGGAAACTAGCAAGTTAAAATGCATAAGATTACATTTTAATCTAGCATGAATAATAATTAATTAAATAGCACACATGTAAAAATTGGGTTAAAAACAAGATGAATGTGAAAGTATAGTTAAACAAAGTAAAAAAAATGTAGATACATGTGATAAAGTGAGCTTCAATTAAACATATGAATGGAAAGCGATACAGAGTGGATCAGAAACCCATTAACTGGAAAACATGGAGACTTGTAGGAAAATAATTGTTAGTGATATGGAAGGATATATGTGTCAACCCTTAGATAATCTTGTCACCAAACATGCTCACACTTTAAACTGCAGGAGTGTTATAATGTGACAGTCATACCCACTATTCCTTGGTAAAGAGCAGTGCAAAAGTTGGTGGTGGATGGTGTTGATTAGCTACTTTCTTTATGGTCTATCACTTCAAAATTTGGGACAGGCAGCAGCCCTCGAGTAACTTTGCTCAAAATTCTATAAATAAACAAACCTTAAGACAATATCATTGTGGTCATTAAAGGTCAATTCCCTCAGAAATTTTATCAGTAAACAAGTAAAACACTAAACCAGAAATTACCAAAACTGCTCCTCAGGAATAACAGTTATAGGTATAAGTACATAAAGTTGTATCACAGAAGATCAAAATCTAACTATAGCAATGGTTGTTATACAAACCCAGGTCTGAGGTGCAGATCATAATTTTGTTTTAGTAGATCATTGCACCTTTGAAGAGTCCAAGTAGTAAGAAGTATATTTTAAAAGCCCCCTACATAAAATGCACACAAGCATTATACTCCAGCTTTTCACAAATAATCTTGATGGTAGTTCAATATCCAGCTAAAGAATAGTTTAACATGGTCTTACTGTGTCATCAGAATGCTCAAACTACTGCCAAAATGTAAGCTGAAACTCCAAACACTTCAAACTAACTAGCTTGGGTGCTACAAGATGCTGCTTTGAGTCACCAATGACTAAAGGAAGTGGTGAGGTGTGTGATAAAGTTTGTTGCAAAGAGTTACAATGCCACCAGATAGTGCAACCAGTATCTTGCCATGATCCTGGGCAGCAAGAAATACTGATGAAGCTTTAAACTTGCATTTGGAGGAGGAACTCGATACAGCTCTCCAAGCTACTAAAGGGGGATGAAGACATAGTCCAAATGTTGAAAGTCTCTTAACTGCACAAGTTTGCATTATCATTTAATTATGGTAGTGATGTAAAACAAGTGAACTCACTCCATCTCTTCATATATTTCAACCAGTTTGTTTCATGGAATAGGTAGTACAATGTCTGATGCTTAGTATACAGAGGGTACTCTACACTCGAGATCATTTCAATTTCTGAGACAGTTTTCAATGAGTTGTGCCACCAATTGGACTCTGTTGAGGATCCACAGAACTGAGTTCAAAGCCCAAAAGTTGGGGGTACCATGAAAATCATCACCTCAGAAGATGATCTGAAGAAATTGCATGGAAAGGCATTCCCAAGAGATTTTTCCTGGTGATTTCAACAAGATATTTGTTTACAAGTTAACTGAGATCTCAAAACAGTGGACTGCACACACGCATGTTGAGAAAGAAGTAATACTGCCAAAGGTGTTCTCTATGGTACTACTTAGAGTCTAATGCATTGCCACTGTTTGCTGCAGCAGGGGCATAGTGTCAGTAATGCAAGTGTACCATAACTGTATGGTGTACACTACAAATATTTTTGTTACTGTTATATTCTTGAATGCTATTTTATCATATTTCCATTCATATATCAACCCATTGCAATTACAGAATTTCTCTTTATGTTATTATCACTCATGCACGCATTTCTTGAAATCATTATTGGCCAAGGTACTAGTCTATCTACAATTTTGGCCAATAGGAAAACGTCTTACCACTCCTAAACATTGTTTCTATGGCAGTAACTGGGTAAGCAGTTAATGCAAGTTGCGCGATAGGAAGGAGTTTCTATAATTCATCTAATTTGTTGTCAAAAAGTGAAGTTGTATTATATACAATCTATATAAATAATACGCTTGCGTTTATCTGTCTGGAACTTTTCTCACAAATTTCTTGATCAAACGCTGCAAAATCTCATATTGTTAGAAAGGTCTTTGTCTGAGGAGTCGGGATTGCATATTGGCTTTTCAGTTTAGAATCGCCTTACCTATTTTTTGCTTGGTCAAACCTTTCAATGCACTGAGTATGGTACACGATGTAACATTGTTGTTGTCATCACGTGACGACTGGCTTCGATTTCAACTAGTTTTTTTATTTGAAATATATGTCACACAAACAACACTTATCCCGCGTGTGATTTCTTAAAAAAAAAGAAAAGAACATCACGCCAGATACAATTTCTATGGGCTTTGTCGACTTATTTATGTCTAACATACTGTTGCGTCAGCGAGGTCACGTGACTAGTGTCACGCCACTTCTCTCGAACCTTCGTGAATGCCCTAGCATTTACTAGATATATGTTTTTCTGGTATATAAATAAGACGCCATCAACGTGACGGGACAATGTGTGTAGGTAGTGAGTAATTGATCTGCAGTCAGAGAGTATTGTTGAAGTTCGTTATAGCGTTTGTTTTAGCGCGAATGTTGAAATCAAGTGTATCGTAAAGTTATATTCAGAAAGAATAAACCAGTTTTATTAAGTAAGGACTTGTGTCGCTAAAGTTTCGTCGGAACGAAGTTACGGAAAGTTAATTAACAAACGGAGACATAACAAATTGGTGTCAGGAGTGGGATGAAAAAAAAATGGAAACGAGAGGCGGAAAATCAAACTACAGCTTAGCAGACTTGATGGCAGCAATACAAGAGCAACAAAAGAAACAACAAGAGAGACAACAGCAGCTGCAAGAAAACCTGCAACAGTGGCAGCTCGAACAACAAAATAAACAAGAAGAGAGATTACGGCAGTTGTTAGAGGAAAAAGAAAAGAAACAAGAAGAACGAGAAATTAAACAAGAAGAGAGATTACAGCAGTTGTTAGAGGAAAAAGAAAAGAAACAAGAAGAACGAGAAATTAAACAAGAAGAGAGATTACAGCAGTTGTTAGAGGAAAA